ATGTTTAACCTCGCCGCATTTTTGCGCCTGTCACAATTCAGGAGCCTCTGGCCTTTGTTAGTCTTGTATACTTTTAATTTTAGTTTCTTTTATATATTTCGGGGTTGAGTATGACGTCAATAATCCCCATATTCATTCCCAATTTCATTTACAAGAAAATTAAATGTGAGTACTATATTTTGGTATGAAGACATGTTCCATATATTAATACAGCATCAACATTCTTAAAACTAATGTTTAGGCACTTGCTGATTTTCTTTGATTTTGCCGAAAATCGGTGACCCGTAAGACACGTGTCAAAGAACATATCTGATAACACTATTATCTTGAAAAAATGAAAAAATAATTATTTTGCATGAGAAAATAACCCTTTAGATATGTTTGCCATAAAAATACATTGGGACTTATTATTGTTTTTTTTTTTAATTCAACATCTATAGTTGAAAATCTTAGGTGTACATCGGTTAATTGAATAATAGAATATAGAAATTGTTTTATTTATTTTTTTTCAATAAAAAAAAATGTTCCCCCTTTCGAGATTTGTCATTACATAAGTGTGTGCTAAAGTTTGGAGACCGAGGACTAACAGACTACAAACAGCAAAAAGTGGATAAACATTTGATATGCATGAAAGAACGTTGGACACACAATACTGATTTCACTGAAAAATTTCAACGAGCACATGATACCCTATGAATTTATTTACATACTTGAACTCTTCTAAGGAATATAATTCTGGACAAAAACGAATTCAGTATATGTTAAATGGATAAACAAACAACAACACTCATTGATGGATACACTTGCGGCTTAATTCATTTTTAAAGCACAATTTGAATGATTGATTAATGGTTGTTTAACGTCCAGTGGCAAACATTTCATACATGTTCAAGGCGAGAAGTCGTTTCAGAAATAGATTATGAATTATAAGGTATTCCAAAATGTTAAAATGTTATCATCGTTTAGCAAAAGGAAATTTTCTTAGCTATTAGAATTGGTACGTCAATATTTTCTTACAAACTTATATCTTTTGCTTTAAAATTAACACATATAAGGTTCTGATCTTATTAAAACAATGTCACTTAAGTCTCGAGAATTATTCGTGTATTTGGGCTTTTGAACTCCGCTGCATTTGTTTGCATCTGCCCTAACCTGCTGTTTAGTGGTTGTTGTTTGATTATGTATTTCAAAAGTCGAATATATAGACCGTTAGTTTTTCCGTTTGAATGGTTCTACACTGGTCATTTTGGGGCACCGTATAGCTTGCTGTTCGGTGTTAGCCAAGACTTTGTGTTGAAGGCAGATGAGTAAAATTGTATAGTTTTACACGTATGAATTTAGTAATGACTAGCATGGCACTATCAGACTCAAGACAAACAGTGTTCATGTATATTTGGTATCCGGTATACGAGTACGGGGCGCATTTAAAACTGTTTAAGCTAAACGAAATTTTAATTTTCCATGCGAATTAGACAAAAAAGAAGATATGTTTTAATGTGAATTTTTAAAAGTTCGGGACGGAATTGGTTCAATTAAATTTGCTTAACGTACCGTGGCAAATATTATTGCATATTCTCGACGAAATTACATTTTTGATCAGACGATACCTTCATAGAGATTAATGTTTGCGTACAATATCCATTGGCATTCATCAAACATGCTCATTTTGGTCCCTTTATTGGCTATTAAATAACTACCAGCTTTCTCGTTTTATTTCAAGCAAAATAATATTTTTTTTTTATCACAGTCACTTTTTTTTTTTATCTCAAGAGCTGCTGCGTGTTTACAAATAAAAAAAAGAACTAATTATAATTTTCGATGCATTTTGAAAATCTGGCATCATTAACTATAAAAAACTTAGTTTACACATGTATTTGTCATTATTTAATTTTAATGTGAATATTTGTAAGAGGTACATTTTTACTTTTCTGACTAAAATCGATAACGCTCGGAACGGTTAAACGATAGATACACGAGGATGCTGTACCGCTTGAGTGATTTACCTTACAAAAAGGCGGACACTTTAAATTTAAAAGGACTTAACATCAGTTTGATTCCGTTTAACGGGGGCGTGGCTAATTAGTTTGACGCAGTTTAACCACATCTCAAATTAACTTGAATGACCGCAAGGGAAACTATTTGACTGGTATTAAAATGATTTGATATGGATTGAAATGCATTAAAATTAATTTTTAATTTTTGTCAATCTTTATTTAATTATCATTAATCTTTTTTAAATGCCGTTAATGCGTTTTTGTCCGTTCAAGCTAAATTCGAGTTACTAGTGTTGGTAGTAGCATTTTAATGCCTATCCGCTAGAATATCTATGGACACATATGAATATGTAAAGATGTTAATATCAGTGAAAATACACCTACTTCATGTAATTGCAGTAATTCCGAATACATTTATGGACCCATTTCCCATGTTATAACAGGAGATCTTAACATCGTTCAAGACCGAGAGTTAAAATCATTCCTCAGTAAAGGACCTAAATATCGTCCCCCGTCAATTATTAATTGGAATGAGTGTCGTAATATCATCCACGACTCACTCCATACTTACTGTTTGAAATGGATAAAACGGGAAAAAGCTGACAAAAAATCTTTGGACTCTTTTTTTAAATCAGTAATGAACATTGTTGATATACGTATTCAACATTTTAATGAACATTTTACTCTTAACAATAACCACAATAAACCTATTTCTCGTATCAAACATAAACTAAAAGAACTAGCCAAGGAATTTGTTTTTGTCCCGGCCGATAAAGCTGCTAATAATATTATTATTGTTTGACGTAAATTTTACATTGAGGTTCTGAAAAAAGAAATCACCAATTCACCAACATTCCAACTGACTCCATTTTCAGAAAACGACATCTGTAACAAACATAAACTTTTAGCTACCGCTTTACAAGCAGAACCAAATACAATGAAAGTCCTAACTATGTATTGGCTTCCGAAGCTACACAAAACACCTTACAAATATAGATTCATTTCGTCTTCAAGCCATTGTTCCACTACTAAATTGTCTATTCTTCTTACCAGTACACTTGGTACAATCAAAAACCTGATAATAAATTGTTCAAATAAGGCCTTCGAAAATAGTGGAATTAATTACTTTTGGAGTGTCAAGAACTCGTTGGAAGTACTTGATAAATTGCATGCATATATTGGTGATTTTGAATCTGTTCAAAGTTTTGATTTTTCTACCCTATATACCACATTGCCTCACATTCTCATTAAGAAAAAATTCACACACCTAATTAAATGGACATTTAAAAAGTCAGAATGTGAATATATATGTTCAAACTCTTTTAGGTCATTTTTTAGTAGCAATAAACAAAAAAACTATGTCAATTGGACATGCTTTGATACTATATATGCCCTTGAATTTTTACTAGATAACATTTTTGTTCGCTTTGGAGATTCCGTATATCGTCAGGTTATCGGAATTCCAATGGGGACTAACTGTGCACCACTTATTGCGGACCTTTTTTTGTATTGCTATGAGTTACAATTTATGACAAAAATCAGTAAAGACCCATCGAAACAACATCTGATACACAAATTTAATAATACTTTTAGATATTTGGATGATATTTTGGCTCTCAATAATGACGACTTCAGTATGTATACTAAAGAAATTTATCCTGTTGAACTTACTTTAAATAAAGCTAATACTAACAATGACCACTGCCTTTTCCTCGATCTTGATATCTATATCATTGACGGAAAGCTTAATACTAAAATATATGATAAAAGAGATGATTTTTCATTTCCTATCGTTAATTATCCATTTTTAGATGGTGACATTCCCTTGTCACCATCTTACGGTGTTTATATATCTCAACTTGTACGATTCGCTCGTGTATGTAACAATGTTTTAGATTTTAACGAGAGAAATTTATGTATTACTGAAAAATTATTACACCAGGGTTTTCGATATCACAAACTAGTCAAAACATTTACTAAATTTTATCATCGGTATAAGGACATCATTCGTAAATATAGCTCAACATGCAGACTTCTTATACGTTCAGGTATTTCACATCCAATTTTTTATGGAAATATTCTTTATAAAGCACAAAAATGTCAGTATTCACCTCTGAAACTAACAAATCCTTTAAATAGACTTATTAAGAAGGGATATAGTTACGATACTGTTGTCAGGTCATTAAAGATTGCATATTTTGGCGTTAATATTGATTCACTTATAGGGTCTTTGCATCGGCACTAAACACATTTATTTAAAAACCAGTTGTTGGCATGACACGGGTTATGTTCTTCTCATATATGTTATGATGGTATGATACTAAACCCCTAACGGGAAGGATTGTGCCTGATATTCATATGATGAAGACATAATCTTTCAATCAGTTTAATTGAAGTCTAGAGCTGGCATGTCAGTTAACTGCTAGTAGTCTGTTGTTATTTATGTATTATTGTCATTTTGTTTATTTTCTTTGGTTACATCTTCTGACATCAGACTCGGACTTCTCTTGAACTGAATTTTAATGTGCGTATTGTTATGCGTTTACTTTTCTACATTGGTTAGAGGTATAGGGGGAGGGTTGAGATCTCATAAACATGTTTAACCCCGCCGCATTTTTGCGCCTGTCCCAAGTCAGGAGCCTCTAGCCTTTGTTAGTCTTGTATTATTTTTAATTTTAGTTTCTTGTGTACAATTTGGAGTTTAGTATGGCGTTCATTATCACTGAACTAGTATATATATTTGTTTGGGGGCCAGCTGAAGGACGCCTCCGGGTGCGGGAATTTCTCGCTGCATTGAAGACTTGTTGGTGGCCTTCTGCTGTTGTCTGTTCTGTGGTCGGGTTGTTGTCTCTTTGACACATTCCCCATTTCCATTCTCAATTTTATTCAAATTTATCATAGCTTTAGTTTTACTGTGAAATTTTATAATGTTTTCAAAATATGTAAAGTTTCTCGAATATTGACATTTAAAAATACATACATTGAATAAGATAAACTCATACTTACTAACAGTGTTACGAATGCAACCTGCCTCACAGTAATATATGGTTACAATATACACCAAACAGGCCAGTTTTACAATATTTCCCATAACGATATTTCGAGTAATTTATAAACCGTTAGGACTTAACTTTTTAACTTTACTCTAGAGTGTTTTCTAACTTGATCAAGTACTTTAACATACCACTTAATTATATGTCGTAACACTGAAAACGTTTGAAATACGTTTGACGGATGTAATTATAAAAATAAATTAATACATATAACACCATTTGTCTGTCTTTATATCTACTCGCGTTTCATTTTAAACTCGCCCTTCACGCTCATTTTATTTCTGCGGATTTTTGTCAATGTATTTTTTATAGGTGCTGATTCTTTGAAAATATGGTTTCATCAGTCTTGCTTTCAACTTCACTCAATTTTGTACAATAATGAAAATCAGCAGAGAGTTGCAACCCGGAAGTACGGCTAGATTGGATTAACCTGAATATTTCAAAACTTTTAAAGTCTTTTTTCCTAAATGCTTTGTACTTGTATATCATTCAAACCAACATTAGAATGTATGTAATCACAAGTATAAAAATTAAGATTATCATCATGATCATGTTTATAATATATTCAACATCAACTGTAGTCATTTATTTTATTCGAGTATTTAGCTATAGAGTCTGAAAATAGAGTGGTTTTCAATTTATCTGAAATTATTCTCAATAAGGCAAGGAATCGACCATCTCTTTTACAGTGGATTTTTTTCTCTAATAGAAAACTGTAAATAAAGCACGTATGCGTCAACTGACAAGTCACCATGCAGATTATTTAGTTTGTAAGGCACTTTTGACTAAAAGTTAAACGTGACACATCCGCGTCTTAAACTGTATGTCGAAAATAAAAAGGAATCTCGAGCTGTCTAAATTATCAATCTCAAAATAAAAGTTTGTCAAACAATGCCTCGCATAGACAAAAAAAGAACTTACTGTAATTTTTTACAGTCTCCTCCTAATATAATTCTATGCATTACATTGATTTTTCATCGTAATTCACCTTGTTTGCCTTGGATTTACGATTCTTTTTTTGACGGAATGTTCAAACGAAAATTGTAGTGTTGAACCATCTCGTCAATTTCGGCAGATTCATCTGTATTGATTATAAATGATATATGGGACTCCGAAAAAATAAACGCGTCCTGAACATGAATGAAATATTTGCCCCTTCACGTTAAGCTACCAACAAACAACCAATCAACTGGCATAATATACTTACAGTCTGTTAGTATACTATTCTCAAATACATTCTCATACTTTTCATAAGTCCAAATAGCCTTTCTAGACGTGATACTTATTTGGACTAACTTTTCATTATAAAGTACACATATAATCAGTCATGTCAGTGTTGTATCATAGTTTTGTTATACAAACCATCCTGAAATATGGAAACTACAAACTGTAGTGACGGTTCAATATTATGAATACGAACAGAATATCCTGGCACTCTTAATTAATAAGGACAATATTTTGTAGTCATCATGGTCATTGTGCACAAATATTGCAGTTATTTGCTTAATACAATCCATCCTGAGGTAACAAATTTACTGATTTATGATACGGCTATAACATTTCATAATAAAATGCAAATGATCATGAATATGGTCAGTCATTAAACGATTTACAGATGATAACACCTCACACATACTTTTTATTGTAAATAAAATTGAGAATGGAAATGGGGAATGTGTCAAAGAGACAACAACCCGACCACAGAACAGACAACAGCAGAAGGCCACCAACAGGTCTTCAATGCAGCGAGAAATTCCCGCACCCGGAGGCGTCCTTCAGCTGGCCCCTAAACAAATATATATACTAGTTCAGTGATAATGAACGTCATACTAAACTCCAAATTGTACACAAGAAACTAAAATTAAAAATAATACAAGACAAACAAAGGCTAGAGGCTCCTGACTTGGGACAGGCGCAAAAATGCGGCGGGGTTAAACATGTTTATGAGATCTCAACCCTCCCCCTATACCTCTAGCCAATGTAGAAAAGTAAACGCATAACAATACGCACATTAAAATTCAGTTCAAGAGAAGTCCGAGTCTGATGTCAGAAGATGTAACCAAAGAAAATAAACAAAATGACAATAATACATAAATAACAACAGACTACTAGCAGTTAACTGACATGCCAGCTCCAGACTTCAATTAAACTGATTGAAAGATTATGTCTTCATCATATGAATATCAGGCACAATCCTTCCCGTTAGGAATAATACAAGTACAAATATGGTCGGTGTTGGTTGATGCGGTCAAATATTTTTGTTATACGAGAAAGTCTGAGATACTAAAAGTACTTGTTTTTTGTGACGAGTCAATAGTTTAAATAAAAAGTGAACATGCTGGCACTCTAAATTGATGCTGATAAAATTTGTAGTCATTGTGTTCCAATATTGCTGTCATTTGTATTATACAATCCATTCTGATTTATGATATTGTTACGGCCAGAAATCACCTTTACATTGTAGCCAACAAAAGACACAAATCAATAATAAAAATTTAACAAGATTGTTTATACAATTTTACAAGAAATATTTCTCAAATAGAAATGTCAACTTAACTGTTAAAACATATGTCCGATCCTTTGTGTTTTCTTTATCCGGAATTCTTCTCTTAACTGTAACGGAATATGTCCAATAAGTTCACAATCTAATATGATGTAGATAAAGTAAATAAGATTGTCAATCCAACAACTCCAGAGGACTTCCGAGAATACAAGTATATTGATGTCTGTCTGTCTAATTTCGGAGTCTGTATATATAGTAGTGAAACTTCTAGAAAACTGTAGAAGAGAAACTCGTAGAAACTGTAAAAGAGAAATTTCTAGAATATTATAGAAGTTTAAATTACGCATCGAAAATTATGATCATTCTGGAATTATTATGTAAGTCAACTAGAAAATTCTAATCATTCCATCAGTATCTATGATTGTTCCAGTAATTTCTTAACTGCACAATTATAACATTATTTTGTAAACAACTATAAAAAGTAAACACCCCAATTATGTATCTTTTAAGGCCACACAATACACATAAGGTCAAGATAAATAAACATGATAATGACAATATCACAACACCTTTTAAAAAAAAGTTTGAGTGTAATGAGAATTTTCATAAACAATATCTACAAAAATATATAGTATGTATTGCGTGTTTTTATAAGATCTAGATAATGCATCTTTTATTACATTATCTTTACTTTTAATATGTTTTACAATAACATTATATTCCTGTAACAATAAACTCCACCTAGTCAACCTCTGGTTCTTGTTTCTCATTTTTTATATGATCAGTATAAACAAGAAAAGGATGCATTGTGGGATTTAAATGTACATCAAAATATTATAGTACAGACAATAGTGCAAAATACTCTTTTTTAATAGTTGAATAATTTTTCTGATGTTTATCCAATTTCTTGGAGAAAGTATGAAATAGGTTTCTCAATATTATCATCTGTTTCTTGATATAAAACGGCTCCAACTCCAACATCACTTGCGTCGACGGTAAGTTTGAATTGTTTTTCAAAATCTGGAGTGATCAGAACAGGACTGTTACTTAAAACTGCCTATCAGGAGACCGAATATTTTATTGTGAACCTGTTGAACAACCTTTTCCTAGACAAGTAACAATAGGAAACTACAGGGCTACAATCCTTCATAAAGGTCAACCAACAAAAAACAGAGACGACATGGTGTGCAAAAAATGCCTCGAAAAAGGCCACTTCATCAGCAATTGTCCAAATGACTGGAAATGTAATATCTATAAAAAATCTGGACACAAACAATCAGAATGCGAAGAGCCCTTTTCAGACAACAATAATGAACATGATGAAAATGAATTAACAAACACAGATAATGACAATACAGATTCAGAGACTGATGACAATAATGATGAGACTGCACATACTCAACAACATGAAACTGAACAAATGCAGGAAATACCTAACCAGCAGATGCAGGAAGTGCCTAACCAACAATCGCAGGAAGTGCTCACTCGCAATCCGAAGAAAACTCAAAACAAAAATTCGCAAGAGGTGTCTATTCAAAAATCTCAACCTCTATTTCAATCAATCACCAATGAAGAGAATGATGAAAATACAGGACAAGCTGCAACATCAAGTCCTAAAAAAACTAAAAAAAAATCTAGTAAAAAGAATAAACTAAATAATCAAAATGATGCAAAAGATGAAAAACAAAGTTCAATGCAACAATTTCTAGTTGAGAAACAAGCTAGTGCAACCACTCCAGGAAAAAAAGTTTCAAAAAGGTCTGCAACAACACCCACAACTGACCTATTCGATAGAGAGAACCAAACCAGCAAACCAAAAACTCAAAGTTAAAAAGGAGAAATAAACATGTACAAACGATTATGTAGCTAACTCCTTTTTTCTTTTTGTTTATCATCTCTATATTTTTTACAATGATTTGTTTGTATATAGTTTTATTATTATTCATACATATATGTATGCCAAGCATATTCCTAAAGGTAGATAACCACCTTGAAGACGATGCTTTTTACATAAATTTAAAAAAAAACCAGTAAAAATACAAAGACATGTAGTGATGATTGTGATGGAATATTAGATTCCATACTTTCAAGACGTAATAGAAAGAAGAGTAAAATAGAAATGAACCGAAATGTTGTTTTTTATATCATAATGTCAAAGATTAATAGAAAACTAAATATTATTGGTCTGTGTGATAATACAAAAAATATACACATAACTAGAGAATGTTCTTTAATAAACATAACATTTATTTATCAGATTAATATGTATATACTTATATACTATAAATATCTAATAATATTCCACAAATTTGCAATATCAATCCCTTTATATAAGTATCATCATAGTTTGGAAAACAGTTTGCAAAGAAGTTCCTACTTCCTACAGATTAACTGGAGTAAGAATCTCAAAATTCCAATCCTATGCTGTCAAAAAAATAAATCTATGAATCAAACAGTTATCCAGCAACATTTAAGTACAGTCCATATTTACACCTGGATAATACTTCACTGTAAGATCTCTCTACATAAACTTCATGACTTTTGGCTTCAATACGTTGTATTATTATACAAATGCTCACAAATATACATGTACATGTATAGATACTGGGAAAGAATTTTTAGTCGAAATCCAGCAATATTAATCCTCACATATAAATGTATTCTTGTAAAAATCTTCAGTATCACTAAATCAAAGCACTTTAGTCTTCATGTAAAACAAGTAAATTCATCCTATTATCAAATCGTGTCGTTCGTAACCAAAGACATAAATTTATACCAATGTATCTTGAACTGTGTTAAGCTCACGTTGTATTTGAGCTTGATATCTCATCTACCTGCAGAAATAAAAACAAAATTGTTACTATCAACTACAACTAAAACAAAATATAACAATATAAGCGCATTATTAGAATCAGTAGAATTTAACAGAACAAAAACAATAATTAGAAATTACCTGAGCAAACGACTGCTATTAATAGATGCGGGAAAATCCCTACATAGATTATTAAAAACATGTGCACCTTTCCCGAACCGGTATCCAATTTTACGGGTAGATAAAATACACATAAAAGAGAATGTATTCATTATATTTATAGTTAACATAATCATGTTAAATACAATGTTGTTCTCAATGTATATATGTATATTTTTAATTTATGCATGCTATTGTTCTTGTATATGTTTGTCAATGTATTCAGTATTGTACAACAATTTAAAAAGTCAAATGTCACAATTATGTATTGTGTCTTTTACATGTGAACTACTCATATTAAGGATAGTTGGCTACATCAGATTACAAAAAAGTTCAGAAAAAATAAAATACAGTAGAGAAGGTTTGGGTTTTAAATCACTTGCCTTAAGCTACAAATAAGATTCATGAATAAAACTTTACACATCTGTTCCTTAAATTGTCAAGGACTAGGTCAAAAAGAAAAAAGAAATAGACTTTATACATGGTTGAAATATCAAAAAACAGAAATACTTTTTATCCAAGAAACTCATTTTGTTGTAGAAATAGAAAATAAAGTTAGCAACGAATATGCTGCAGATATTTTTCATAGTTTTGGCACCACTCAATCAAAAGGTGTAGCTATATTTATAAAAACAAACATTAAATTCAAAGATAATTGATACTTATACTGATCAAGAAGGTCGCATAATTTTGGTAAATGTTGAAATAAACAACAATATATTCTCTTTGATTAATTTATATGCACCAAATGAGAAGAAAAAGAGAAATGCCTTCTTTAAAAATGTAAATAAAATAATTGAAGAGCACAGTCTTGGAATTTTAGTGGTAGGAGGAGATATGAATGAAACATTGAGTAGTGCAGATAGAAAAGATATGAAACATTGAGTAGTGCAGATAGAAAAGATAATAAAAAAAATAGAGAACAAAAAATTACAAATAGTTTGAAAACTTTAATAAAAACAAATATACTAGAGGATATATGGAGACAATTACATCCAAAACTATATCAATACACATGGAAACGTAAAAATAAAGATGATGAGGCAAGTAGAATAGATTATTTTCTGACCGGTAAGGAATTGAGAACTATGATAAAGTCTACAGATATTAGACCAGCCCTGATTTCTAGTACGGACCATCGGGCAATTTCACTGAAAATCAACATGTCTAATGATAATAAGGGTAAAGGGTTCTTTAAAATAAACAATAGTGTGCTTACTGATAAATCTTATAAAGAAAAAATAGAAAATATAATTGACTATTTTATACTCAAAAGCAATAACACTGAAAACCTATCACAATTATGGGATTTGTTTAAAATTGAGGTAAGAGAATTGACAATACAGTTTTGTAAAAATAAAGCTAAGCAAAGAAAAAATGAAATTCAAGATTTGGAAAAAAAACTTCAAACATTACAGGAAAAAAACGATAACAAAAAATTAAGTGAAGTGGAAAAGAAGGAAATTAATTTGTTAGAAAGTAAGATAGAATCTCTTTATAGTTATAAAGCAAAAGGTGCACAGATACGTTCTAGGATAAAATGGATAGAAGAAGGGGAAAAGAACACTAAATTTTTTCTAGGATTAGAGAAAAGTAGGCAAACAAGAAAAAATATAATAAATTTAAAGAATGAGAAAGGGGAGATAATTTCAAAACAATCAGAAATACTAAATTTTGAAAAGAAATATTATGAAAAACTTTACACTAGCACTAAACCAGATAAAATTTTTATAAACAACTATATAAAGGATACAAATATTAAACAATCATTGAGTAAAGAGGAAAGCAATTCTCTAAACGGACTCCTCACAACAGAAGAATGTACAAAATCAATTTTTCAAATGAAATTAAATAAATCCCCCGGCCTAGATGGACTTTCAGTAGAGTTTTACAGAGAATTTTGGGACAAATTAAAGAATTTTGCAATTCAAAGCTTCAATCATTGCTATAAAGAAGGGATGTTATCTGAATCACAAAAAATAGGCCTTATTTCTCTAATATTTAAAAAAGGAGACCCCACTGATTTAGGTAATTACAGACCAATTACGCTATTGAATGTTGATGTTAAAATTATTGCATATACATTAGCCCAAAGATTAAAACCTCTAATGTCAAAAATTATCCACAGTGACCAAAATGGGTACATCAAAAACCGTTATATAGGTTTTAATATATGTCAAATACAAGACATTATTGATCATGCAGAAAAGTTAAAAATAGATGGTGCTTTACTTTTTCTAGATTTCTCCAAAGCGTTTGATTCCCTAGAGTGGGAATTCATGTATCAATCACTAACAAAATTCGGTATTGAAAATTCTATGTTAAGATGGGTCAAAACCTTGTATGCAGATATTAAGGCATGTATTCCAAATAATGGATGGATTTCAAGCACACTGAAAATTTTTAGAGGAATTCGTCAAGGATGTCCTTTAAGCGCCATTTTATTTGTTTTTGCAGTCGAAATATTAGCCTGTAGAATAAGAACTGACAATAATCTTAAAGGAATAAACATAAAGTTAGATGGAAAAACACACAGCTTTATTATAAGCCAGTTAGCCGATGATACTACATTGTTTCTATGCTCTAAAGATGAAATTACTCAATCACTTAATATAATTGAAGTATTTGGCTCTTTATCAGGACTTATTTTAAATCGAACTAAAACTGAAGGATTAGCTTTCGGTAAATTAAAACACATTTCGGACAATTTTGAAAATATTAACTGGAGCAAAGAGACTATTAAAAGCTTAGGTATTTACTTTGGACATAATAAATCTCAATGTATGAATTTAAATATAGAAAAACAACTTCAAAAATCTGAACAAATTTTAACTCATGGAAGAAAAGAAAGTTAACAATGATCGGAAAAATAGCAGATGTGAAATCTCTAGTTATACCCAATATTACATATTTAGCTTCAGTTTCTAACATCGACAAAGATTCAATATATAAGTTTAAAAAAATGATTTATGACTTCATTTGGGACCATAAACAAGAAAAAATTAAAAGAAATACAATTAATATGAAAAAAATGAAGAAGGTCTTGGAATGATAGATATTGACAAGTTTATTGATGCAATAAAAATTAAATGGGTGAAAAGATTAATGGAAGGTGAACAGTCAAATTGGAAAATTATTCCAACATTTTACTTAAATCAGTATGGATCAAATTTTCTAATATTTCACATGAATCTTGATAATTTAAAATCCATTAATTACCAAAAGAGCAAAATCCCTTATTTCTACTTTGAAATACTAAAATCGTGAGTACGATATGGCGGCGGTCAAACTAACAAACCAGAAAACTTTAAAACCATTAGACAACAAATAATATGGGGTAATAAATATATTAAGTTAAACGGGCACAGTTTAATATTTAATCATTGGATAAAAGACAATATAATCTATGTAAATGACATAATTGATGACAAAGGTAGAATATCAAAAGAAAAAATCCTCAATAAGTTAAAAAGTAAAAGAAATTGGATTGCTGAAATAATTCAAATAAGAAAGAGTATACCAAATCACTGGAAATATATATTACAAAAAGAAGATTCATCAAAAACTATTGTTAAGTGTGAAAAACAACTCTCTTTAAAACAAGACGCAATTATATACGATTTACAAAAAAATCAATAATAAAGATATTTATATAATTCTATCAAATGTTAGTAAAGGCATACCTATAGGGTTTACAAGATGGCAGAAAGAACTAAATATAGATAAAAATCCACCAAATATCAAATACACATTAAATTTTATTTTCAATTATTTAGAAGACAATAAATTAAAAATGATTCGATGGAAATTATTACACTATATATTACCTGTAGGTACACATCTTTTCACCTGGAGAATTA